TCCTTTGTTTTTCGCTTTCATTTCTTCTCGCTTTGTTGAATATCGCGCTCTAATGCCAAAGTCTTGTGCATGCGTAGTACGCCTTTTCTTTTAGACTAGTAAATCTTTCTTATTTTCATCTTCTCCTAAGCATGTAGGCCAAAGGGGACTTCGTGAAACTTTCAAAAGTCCGGGGAGACTTCGTTTTCACAAACCCTAGAAGCCGACTCTGCCGGGCACTGGTGCTCATATAGGGCAATGTGACGCTTTTGAGAGCGTCAAGCAGTGTTTCTCTGAAAAAGCTGCAGCAACAAGGGGATTTAGACTGACATTTTCGAAGAGTATTTTACTTTTGTGTATACGGGATTGAAGCCTCAGTAATCTGTGACTCTTGCTGTGAGCAATTTTTGTACATTTTTTTAGGCTAGCTAGCGGCACTCTACGATTTCCTAACCCCAAACTCAAAATCGCAAATTTCAAACAGCTATTTTCAGAAGCTTCGCTCTCGGTGGCCAACTCATAGGTACGCTTGAGCATCTGTTTATGAAGCGGAAATTTTGCGGTATTCTTAGGACACTGGACCATAAGTTTAAGTTCAGTATTTGAAAAATTATTGATTTTTGTTTGAATTACGCAAGAACTTTTGCACCAACCTAAGATTTCACGCAGCTTTCTCTTTTCTTTTGAGCAGTTTTGCTTTTGGAGTGGTGTTTTGTGATCGCTGAGATAACCGCCGAAAATTCTGACCTATGCTTTTTACTGTGGCCTGCATAGGCAAATTTTTCAAATTTTCCTATCTGACTTTTGGAAAAGTTTTGATGACAGCTGATAGAATTGGCAACATGTTGGCCTGGCAAAATGTTCTGCCAACATGTTGGCATGTTGCAAACATGTTGTTGCCAACGTTGCCAACATGTAAGCCACACGTGGCAGGTCTGAGACGCAGACCAAGGGTAGCAGCAACTGTGGAGGGGACGATAGGTCCTGGCCTTATGCAGGGTCAAGCGAGGGGTGCGGCACGCCGCACCTGGGGGGTCGTATTGAGGAGTCAAAAGGGGGAGGGGAGGGGGTCGTAGTTGGGTAATCTGATAATAGTGATAACATGATATTCGTATCATATCCATAATTAGCATGTCAATCAACCTCTGTAGGCAAAGTGTGAGCGAATTCTGAAGATTCAAGATACTAGGCTACCTAAATGAAATGGTCAAATTCCAACATGGTTAACTTTGTTTCAAAGGTGAATTAGCTATCCGTTTTTGCACTCAAGACAAAGCACTACTCCTTCTTTGTCCACCTCCGGAATCCCGCTTCAGAAGACCTGCAAACTGTGGAATTAGAAGCCAACCAAAATCTCGTTTTTCCCATTTTTCGCTTTTGATCGCTGTGCTTACCAAATTTTACTTAGAGCTAAGAAGACAAATCAGACTCCAAACAGTCCCATGGAATCTACAAGGTTTAGGCTATCGATTCATATAAATACTGTCCGCTAAAAATGTTTTTTTGATATCGTTAATGGGGTGCGGCACACCCCCTTAAAAGCTGCGGCTGCCGCAGCTTTCAAGGGGGGTGCCGCACCCCTTAACTTGCCTTCAAGATCCAAAAAGCGCTCCATTGCTGGTATGAGTATTGAGCACATAGCTTCTTCTTGCTACATTGGAAATTTGGAGCCGAACGCCCCACCCATAAGAAAATTATGGCCCTTTCAATATGCCCATTCAGATCAAAATCAGCCGTCAAATTACGTGTGAGTAAAGTGCAGTCACAGAAAATCGGACGTACAGCTCTCAGAAATCTGAAAACTCCCTAGAAAAAGATGGTGTCCTCCAGAATGTCACACTTTGAGGTCCAGAGGTTAAGAGGAGGAAGAAGGGGTCGTTTGAGGGCTTTCATGAGAGGGGGGGGTTTCGAAAGACTTGTGCCTGACCCCTTTCTCAACTCTGGTAATGCTATCTTAGGTATATAGTTCAGGGGGGGGGGTCTTATTAAGACAGCAATCAGGGGGGAAGGGGTCGTAACCAGCGATCGTGTGCCACACCCCTTGCTTGACCCTGGCCTTATGCTCTTCAGCTAATAAATCCGCGTTCGCCCCCGAAGATATTGCGCCTTCGTCACGCAGCAGGCTATACTTCTTTTAGTCTCAGTAATGAATCTGAACTTAATCGGTGTTAGAGACGTGTAATATGTTATCTATCATGACTTATAATGGGCTAAGGGTTGTTTACGTGTTTTTGTGTGTGTGTCTGTCCGTTATGAAATTCGTAGAGCGAGTTCCAGCCAACCTCTTGAGGCCAAATTTTGCACGGCGTATGCTACCAGCATGAAAATCCTCTGTGCAGAAGCACGAGCGGATTTGTAGAGTGGATCCCTCAAAAACTTCGCTTCAAACGGATCCACTTGGCTTCTGGCCAGAAAATTGGGCCTGTACCACCACTTTTTTAATTGACAAGCTAATATGCAAGCCATGGACTTTAGCCCAAAAAATTGGACTAAGTTGACTACTTTACGAAAATGGCGCCGAAAAAAATTAGTTGCGTAAATGTTCAATTTGCCAAGATCTTACCTAATCATTTGAGAAGATTTTTGCATAGAAATGTAGCTCACGATGACCATCGTAGTTATGACGACTACCAAACCATAAAAAGTCCAAAAGCAAAGCAAAGTATTCAAATTTGCATTTACTCTTTTACTTTTCGGAAAATTTATCCACGCGAACGTACCAATCCCACACAAAAAAGCATGAGTAGTTGTTTACAAATCTTCGTGATAGTCCGCATAGCGCGGTGAGTTTTAATGTCATTATTATGCGGGAATGAATAAGGCATACAGAAAATAGGGCCAGTGCGAGCCTCTGCGAAGCAGAGGTGACGACGCACTGGTGTATCTATGTATGAAATTATACAGGGTGTCCCAATAAGATGTGCAAACTGTTTGGTTGTTGATAACTTTCCTCCTTTCACGTTTTTGGCCGCGCTTGATGTACCATTCTGTAAAGCGAGGTACAACTTAGATTCGCAGAGTGGAGGAAATCACCAATCGCTTTTCGTTGCTGTAGAATTACGTTATAAACTTTCAGCATACAGCGCCAGTGTGCGCCAGCGCCTTTTGATAAAAACAGTTCCAAAAAATCTGGAAATTTGTGTAGCAACGTTTTCAGGAGTCCTGATTGCACTACACAACTTTTCACCATTTCCTTAGCTCTCTTAGGCCTAAGGCTTACCTTGCGCGATTCGGCCGAGTCGCCACATTCACGCGATTTGGCGGTTTGCCAGATTTGCACTAATCCATCGTGCGCGCTTCTCGAACGCATATTTGGGTAGCCTATGTAAGTTGTTGCAAACGGATGAAGTTTTGACCAAAGGCAGCGCATTAACGACCAATTACGAAGAATCGCTCTTGTGCCAAATCGCGCAGCGACTGGAATTGCGCAAAGTATGCCCTAGGCCTTAATGGCGTAACCGCACTTATGACAAACATTGGGAAAACAGATGTTGTCCTAAATCTAAAATAATTTATGAAAGAAGCAAAACAGTGAAGCGCGGATTTCATATTTAGAATCAGCGACTTCGATTAGTAAGAAAAAGAAGAGGTGCTTGAAATATTAGGTTGACGCAAAAGCTCTTGCGTAATTCAAACAAAAATCAATAACTTTTCAAACACCGAACCTAAACCCTAAACTCAGATGGATCATCGTCGAAAGGGGGACGAGTGGCGTAGTGGTATGAGGCGCCGCTATGACCAGATCGGACACAGGTTCGATCCCCGCCCCTGGGCCAACCAAGCCCTCTACCCTCCGGGGCCGGTAAATTGGTACCGGAGTAATCTGGTAGGATAAAAGCACTGACTTGGAAACGGCTGGCCCCCGCAAGTCACTGTAATAGGCTCGCAGGCATACAATTGCCTCTTCGACTATGAAGTTAGTGTGTGCGTTCGGCGCATGCCCCCAGAGGGTATTGAAGACGCCGAATCCTTTATCCTTTTTATCCTTTAAACCCTAAACTCATGGTCCAGTATCCTAAAAATATCGCAAGGCTTCCGCGTCATACATAACAGATGCTCAAGCTTACCATTCTATGAGTTGGCCACCGGGAGCGAAGCTTCTGGAAATAGCTATTCAAAATTTGCGATTTTGAGTTTGATGCTGGAAAATCCCGCTAGTTAGCCTTTGAAAAATGTATGATTGCTTACACAGCAGAAGTCCATAAATCAATTTGGGAGGCTTCAACCTCGTATGGAGACACAATAATAAAATATTTGAAAATGTCAATTCAAATCCTTTCGTTGCTGCAGTTTTCAGAGAAACACTGTTCAATGCTCCAAAAACGTCACAATGTTCTATGTGAGCACTAGGTGTAATTTCTGTTTTAAAACCGTGTTGCCCTGGAAAACAGAGGAAAAGGGGCTTTTTCTGTAAGATGAATTTTTCATGAATTTTTTTATTTTTACATTTTCATACGGGATCGAAGCCTTCCAAATTATTCTATGGACTTTTGCTGTGTAGGAAATTTTTAAACATTTTTTAGGCCAGCTAGAGGCCCTCAGCGTTTTTGGCACCAAACTCAAGATCGCAATTTTGAATAGCTATTTCTAGAAACTTCGCTCTCAGCGGCCAACTCATTAAATGTTGCGCTTGAGCATCCATCATGAAGCGGAAGCCTTGCGTTATTAGAAGGATACTTGACCATAGTTTAGGTTCGGTATTTGAGATGTTGTTGATTTTTGTTTAATGACGCAAGAACGTTTAAAACAATTAGAAGTTTTCAATGTTTTTAACCCGTATTCCTGCATTTATTTGATGTTTTTTTCACTTTTTAACGTCTTTCAGAGTGAAGGCTACAGTACATGGCTCTTGTATAGGGTGTGTCAGTAAGTTGTAGAGTTATCTTTGTAAGGTAATACAGGAAGAACGGATGCGAATCATTTTCTCCTCTGGCGACTCTAGTTCGCTGCACAAGCAAAGAATTCTGCTTGGGCAGCTCCCAAAGGTTAGGTAGGTGATTTTTTACGTTGCTAACACGACAGACTTTCTGAAACTTCATTTCGGCAATGCTTTCGAAGACGCAAGTTTAAGAGCATTTGCAACACTTTTTGATGGCATTTCAGTATTTAATGGTAGCAGAAATGCTGCATCAAGAAGGGCCACCATTGTGCAAGCGAGCCATGGCCTGGCATGAGTTTTGACCAATCGAAGCACATTGTTTCTTGTAGCGGTTCATATAGGCCTAAGTAAATTTTCAAAAAATTTCATTGAAATTAGAGAATGGTAACACCTCGACGCATTGTTTGGCGCATTTGTAATCATTGGCACATCTCTTCCAAGCGGTGGTTACATCTTCACCATTTTTGCGTCCATGGGTTCCACAATCCTTGTAATAAGGAAGTTTGATCTAAAAAACAATAATCGTTGCATTTCAGAATGAACCAGTTTTTATATATTTTTTTCTGCTTGTGCGTACTCTAGGAGAGAACTCTAGCGGTGATGACTCAAAATGGTTTGAGATATTGCCGGGACTTACGAAAAACTGTTAAGAGAAGAAGCGCAAGCATTTTTGATTGTTGCCACATACTCTGTAGCTACACAGTTAAAGTATGTAGCCTGCAAGTAACTTTTATTCTGGGAGGGATCACGCCAGACCGGACTTTTACATTCCATGTTTGATCAGAGCAAATTGAATAAACAATTATTCGCTTGTCTCATCTGGATGGGAGCATTTGCTAGACAGAAATTCTCAAAAAATTTTGTCCTAGATGTTTGTGAGTTCACTGGAACGAATATTTTGAGCAAATATATCAAGTCAGATATTAGGTTTGCTTGAGAGTTCTTGCGTAATTCAAACGAATTCAATGATTTTACATTGCCTGAACCTAAACTCGAAATCTTGTTCCTTAAAATCATTAGAAGGCATGCACTCTTTGATGGGTTTTAACGCATAAGATCCCTTGAGCTAGCCACCGAGAACGCTCTCAAAAATGCTGCTTCAAATCTTGCGACTTTGAGTTTGGTGCCAAAATCGCAGAGGGTCGCTAGCTAGCTGAAAAAAAGGAAATTACTCACATTGCAGGGGTCCATACATTACTTTGGCAAGCTTTGATCTCGCGTGGATATGCAAAAACAAAAAATTCGTGAAAAATGTCATTTCGCATAGATAATCCCCTCATCACTGCACTTTTTTGTCGAAAACACTTTTTGACACTCCAAAAAAAACGTTGCAATCTTCTAAATAAGCACTTTGTGCGATTTTCCGTTCCAAACTGTGTTTCTGAGGGAGAACTTCAAAGATAAGACGATTTATTGTGTAAAATGACATTTTCCACGAATTTTTTGTTCTCGCATATCCACGCGAGATCAAAGTTTGCCAAAGTAATGTATGGAACCCTGGTGCAAGTAATTTCCTCTTTTCGGCTAGTTAGCGACCCTCTGCGATTTCTGGCACCAAACTCAAAGTCGCAAGATTTGAAGCCCCATTTTCGAGAGCTTCGTTCTCGGTGGCTAGCTCAAGGAATCTTATGCACCCATCAAAGAGTGCATGCCTTCTAATAATTTTGCGGAACAAGATTTCGAAGTTAGGTTTGGGCCTTGTAAAGTTACTGAATTCTGTTTGAATTACGCAAGAACTCTAGAGCCAACCTAATATCTGAGTTGATATATTTGTTCAACATATCCATCCAGTGAACTCACAGACATCTAGGACAAAATTTTTTAAGACTTTCTGTTCAGCCTTTATTGAACGTCTTTGCCATCCAGATGGGAAAAGAGACAATTGTTTATTCAAGGTGCTCTGATCAAACATGGAATGCATTGTTCTTTGGAGTGACCCTCCAAGAATAAAAGTTATTTTGCTATATACCTTAACTGTGTGACTACAAAGCTTTTGACAACAATCAAAGATGCTTGTTGAGCTTCTCCGGGTGCGTGTATGAATGGCTTGCGCGCACGGGTTTAGGAGCAGTTTTCTAGGCAGGGGCAACATGCTCGAACCTGCTCTGTTCTCATGTTTGAGGTACGGGCAAACTTCCATATCAAATTTTCGAGATGTTTGGTTTTGCCGAGTCACTGCCTTCAAAAATCTGCTTCTTCGAAAGTTAGTGCCGAAATGAAGTTTCAGAAAATTGTCAGGTTTGCAGAACGTAAAAATCAACCACCCTATACTTTTGGAAGCTGCTCAAGCAGAATTCTTTACTTATGCAGCGAACTAGAGTCGCCGTAGAGGAGAAAATGATTCGCTACTCCGTCTTTCCTGTATTATTTTTCAAGGGTAACGTTACAGCTTACTGACAACCCTATATAAGAGCCATGTACTGTAGCCTTCATTCTGAGCAACGCCGGAGTCCACGTTAAAAAAACAGTTAAAAGCATCGGTTTAAAAGTGAAAAACACATCAAATGAATGCAGGCATATGGATTAAAAACATTGAAAACTTCTAGTTGTTCCAAACGTTCTCGTCATTCAAACAAAAATCAATAACATCTCAAATACTAAACCTAAACTATGGTCAAGTATCCTTCCAATATTGCAAGACTTCCGCTTCATGATGGATGCTCAAGCGCACCATTTCATCTGTCGTGTTAGCAACGTAAAAAATCACCTACCTAACCTTTGGGAGCTGGCCATTGAGGAGCGAAGCTTCTGAAAATGGCTGTTTCAAATTTGCGATTTTGAGTTTGGGGCTAGAAAATCGCAGAGGGCCACTAGCTAGCCTTAAAAAATAAAATTTCTTACATAACAAAAGTCCATAGATTAATTGGGGAGGTTTCGATCCCGTATGGAAATGTAAAGTAAAAAATTCATGGAAAATATCAATTTACAGGGAAAGTCCCCTAACCTCAGTTTTCCGGAAAAACACAGTCTGGAACCAGAAATTACACCTAGTGCTCATATAGAACACTGTGACGCTTTTTCGAGCATCAAGCAGTGTTTCTCCGAAAGAGTTGCAGCAACAAGAGAATTTACATTGACATGCCTGCCGAAAAAGCCTGCCCGAAATAAACAAAAGCCTTGTTTGCAGCTAAAAGAAAACGAAATGACACTAAAATTGGTGTATAGATGAGCCATAAGGACTTGTGATATGTGCAAAAAATTATGAAAAAATTATGTGAACTGAGGGCGTGGCTAACTTTTTTCGGAGTTAGGTGGCTTTCCAGCCACCTGGACAGCCATCTATGGTGGCTGTGAAAAGAAAATTCATAGGCGGATGTCCCAAAAGTAAGTACACACTTTTCAATTGTTAATACCTCTCTTCTCATTGTGTCTTTTTTCGTCATTTAAGTACCTTTCTGTAGATGAGGCTTCAACTTAGATTTACAGTATTGAGCGAATCGCCGTTCACTCTTCGTTACTGTAGGATTACTGTAGGAACTTCGAAAGCATTTTAGGCCATTGGAAGCCATATTCTTCCTCGAAACAAAGCAAACAAGCCAAAAACCCTTATACTATGGTAATGAAGCCGCTGATATCGAATATGAAATTTTCACTTTGCTGTGATGTTTCTTTCGAAAGTTGTCCCAGGTAAACAGTAATAATCGAATACCCAGTATTTGTCAGAAACGTGATTACACCGTCAAAAAAGCTGAACACACTCGTAAAAACTTGTGTAATGGAATCAGGGTGCGCGAAAACCATAGTACAGGATTTTTCAGATTTTTTGAAAAAAATTTTTATCAGGTGATTAATTTCACAACGGTTCCATATGCTGGAAGTTCTTACAGTAATCCTACAGTGAAGAAGAGTGAACGGCGATTCGCTCAATACTGTAAATCTAAGTTGAAGCCTCATCTACAGAAAGGTACTTAAATGACGAAAAAAGACACAATGAGAAGAGAGGTATTAACAATTGAAAAGTGTGTACTTACTTTTGGGACATCCGCCTGTGAATTTTCTTTTCACAGCCACCATAGATGGCTGTCCAGGTGGCTGGAAAGCCACCTAACTCCGAAAAAAGTTAGCCACGCCTTCAGTTCACATAATTTTTTCATAATTTTTTGCACATATCACAGGTCCTTATGGCTCATCTATACACCAATTTTAGTGTCATTTCGTTTTCTTTTAGCTGCAACAAGGCTTTTGTTTATTTCGGGCAGGCTTTTTGAATTCGCGCGCTTAACCGGCGGACCTGTTGAAACAGGAAGTTTTTGTTTTTTGCAGAAGTGGGATCGATAAGGCAGGAATGACAATCTGCAACCTCTATAGAAAATGAAAGGTGGCATAAGAGGGAGAAGGTGATTTGAGGGAGGGAGGAGGGGGCGGGAAGAACTGGGGTTCCCGCTCAAACGATATCCCCCTTGCCTTTTACCCCAAAACGATATCCAGCTTGCCCCGCAAACCACCTGTGCCGAGCCCTGGGCCAACATGGGCAAAGTTTCCAAATTTTCCTTTCTGACTTTTGGGAAAGCTTTAATGACAGCTGCATAGTGTAAACAGATTGCACTGATTGCAATTTTAGGCATTTATTCTGGCTTTTGGAAAAGCTTTGATGACAGCTAGACTAGATAGATTAAACAAACTGCTTGATCGCAGTTTTAGGCATTTATAGATAGCTTTCCTTTCGAAATTATTTTGGTGCTATCGAATTCCATATTTTTTCTATTTCAATCCTTTTACACATCAACTATTAGGGTGCCAAACAATGCAATTTGTCCTCCTCTCTCTAATAATTGGTTTTCCTTTTCAGTTGGTAAAATCCTCGGCGACAGCAAAGTTTCATATCTCGAAGCGCTCAGTTGCCTTGTGAAATTATTGTTTTGAACCATAGATTTATGAGAGTTTTAAGTTTAGTACTCTGCGTTGATACCACTGCTT